TAAAGGTCAAAGGCAAGTGATTGTTTTTACTTAGAGGCACGAAAATTGTTTAATAATGAGTTTACGTTCAATTCATTTGCCAAAGTCCATTGTACAGAAAATGTGCCATGTCGATCATATATTAAAATCAGTCACTGTGAAATGTCGTCCGACTATTATATAGTTTGACTCATGTTAAAATAAACAGATCAACACTAATGAACATATAATCCACCTGATGTCATTGCAATATGATAGATATGATTATTATTATGATGTAAAGGTTATGCATAAAATATTTTATTTTATTTACTTATTAATTTGTCATTTTATTTTTTTGAACAATTGTTAAAATTTATTTTAAGCATTAATTATTTTTGCTTTATTTATTTATTTCTTGTTTATTTTATAATGTATAAATTTTTAATTATTTATATTTAATCAATAATATTTATTTACATAAAAAAATTTTTAATAACTAAATGGACCAAAATTAAACTGCTCAAAAAAAAATTGATATAAAATTTTTTTTAAGGGGGTAATAATGTTGCACACAATTTTAGAATTTTCAATTGTATTCCAGAATGTTGATCATTACAGTATTTAGAAATTCCAAATTTGGAAAAAATCCTGACTGTAATATGCCAATGTTATTTTTTCTACTACTTTAATTTAAGCTAGTCCAAATACATCAATCTTTTCCAGCCAAGCACCATTTGGAAACCATTGAATTTTTAAACTTTTTTGTTAAGATGTGTTACAAGCAAAACAAAAAACAAATATATATTAATCAGTTATAAATAATCACCTTCCTGGGCATATCTTTTGCCTGATTAAGAGCAACTGAAGCAGTTGGTCAACTATCTGGATCACTTTTACATAAATCTAAATTGAAACTTAAAAGTTCTTGAGGAATGCCTACGACATTACATGAACTAACCAAATCACCAACACCCCATATATCAATGCTTTTTAATTAACATTTCAGGGGCATAATAACTTTCAGAAAATTCTTTTAAAGGCCTATCATCAGGGGAAAAGGTAGCATAGTCAAAGTCAATTAAAATGAAACATTGATACCTCCTATAATGGTGAATAGTGTTGGCCATTGAATATCATTGGTTTAGGCTTAATTTCATGCATACCCTGTTTGAACATCATAAAAATGTATAAATATAATATGTATACATAATAATAAAAATATTGTATTTATGCCAACTCTACCTTACACATAAATTTCTTTTAAATGTGTAACTTGTTTTTCATCTGCAAATTTTTCTTAATTGCATACCTGAGTTCAATAATGGTTCCATTTGGTCGAATAATTGTTTGAAATTCTGGTGAATCCCTTGCAGGGCATAAATTCACTATAAAAGGTAATATACAACCTAAAATAACCATATGATGAATTGGTATTTTGTGATAATAATTTAAAGCTCAAAAAGCACTCACAAATATTTTGAAGGAAATTAATAGTGCGAATTCTGTCTAACAACGCCCTAAATCAAACTCTGCAATCTGTTCAGAACAAATCTCCAGTTTTCTCTTCTTATTTTCAGGCTTATACAAAATAAAAAATGTGACTAGAGGACCAACAGCATAGTATGCAAAAATGTATGGTGAATATCCATAGGTCCAATTAAAGCTCCGAACGAGCCGAGCCGGCTCGAGCTTAAGCTCGAAATTTCGAGTTTCGAGCCGAGCTCGAGCTAAGAAATAATAGGCCCGAGACTTTCGAGTCGAGCTCGACCCGACTTGGCTCGAGTTTGACGTTACATAAAAATTTTTTAAGTAGCGAATCATTAATCCTAATACTTTGACCCATTTAAGAGCCTGTTTTCTTGAATTCAGCTCGAACTTGAAAATTCAAGTTTTAACTCGAGTCTGCTCAACTTA